CCATATGAATAAAAGTTAACAAACTCAAACAAGTTTATTTCATTAGAATAAAATATAAGCAAATTTAAGATTAAATATACATATATACCAATTTATTTGAAATAAAAAAATTAATAAAAAATAATATATTTAATATAGAGTAAAATGTAGAGATAAGGATTGGAGATGAATGTTCAACTCTACTCTAGAGTAGAGTAAAGTGCGCGCTAGAGTAGAGATAAGGGCTGGAGATGGCCTAAGTGAATGGACAATAAACTAAGGGAGGTCCACTCGATTGAGATTTTGAGTGATATTTTGAGACTTTTTGATATTCGAGTGTTTTTAATAATTTCAGAATTATGGAGGCACTTTGGGAAATCTTAAATTTGGAGGTGGAATTTTAAGTGTTATTTTTGTTTAATTTTTTTTTATATGAAAATATGTATATTTTTAAAATATACATATTGATACGCACATGAAATTAAAATATGTATATTTTTATATTAAATTATTATTTTAATATGACCAATGTAAAAAGAATATGGCACATCATATAGAAATCGATACGCACCACATAATATTTTAAAATTAAGATTTTTAAGCTATAAGATATTAGTGAGAACTTAACCTAAATAAAATATATTTTTCTCTATAGATTAAAATAATCTTATTCCAACATTATAGGTTAATTTTAAATTCTTTTTTACATATTCAAATTAATATATTATATGCAACAATAAAATTGTAGTCAATTATGGGAAAATATAAATTGGTTGTACAAATTTAATTCATACATAGTTATCTTAGATTATTTACTAAGTAAGATTCCATTTAATGTTGAAAAGAAAAAAAAATTATAATTAATTTTGTGCCAATTTGGGAACCATTACGTGATTTTAGGATCAATTAGGTGTAATATTATTAATTAAGTATTGGAAGAAATTGTATGCATATTTTTATGCCAGATTTGGAATAGTTTTAGGAACATTACTGTGTTGCCGGAATTTTAAAATTCCGAAGGATATTGTATTCAGTTTTTTTCTTTTTCAAACATTCCATTGAGATTTTTTTTTTTTTAAATTAAAAAATGTGTCACTGGAGTGATAAAATGAAAATTTTCAAAAAATATTTCCGTAAATGG